TTGATGCGCCCACGTTAACACTTGTATACCTTGCGTGCATACTTGATTTGAGGCACTTAGAGTTGGAATTCGATAATGAAACTTACACACTATATTCTTTAAATAATAAACTATTTTTTAAACCAAAAAAAAAAATTTTCCCAAAAAATTTTTGTTTACATGTATGTATATCCCCCTTAAAGCAAAAAGCATGACTATTGGGTATATGGTTTTTTGTAATATTACCTGAAAGCCGACCAATTTATATTTTTTTATAATGCATAAAATGAAAAAAAGATCAAGAGTTAATTCTCATATCTTCCACAAAAAACTACTAAAATTATTTTTATTACGGATTCGGAATCCTTGGAAAATGTATGTATGGTTAAAAACGATCACGATAAAATGATGGGTTTGCGGTCATGACTTTTTCTATTTTTGGAACGGCTTTTGTTCTAGATGCGGTACTATGCGTCGATGACTTGCATACAGACATCGACTACCGTTACTGCTGAAATAGTGGTTTCATCCGTCAAGAGCGCCAGGCCTGGACTGCTGGCCGAAATAGGCAGGGCAAATAATCAGTCTGCCTCGCCAAAAGCCCTAATAGCGGTACCATCTACGAAACATATACATATTTCTTTCGCGTAGAATTCGGGATAAAACATCGGAAGATTTAGTCGCATTTATCCAGGGCAAAACAAGAGCTGAAAAGGAAAAAACAAAGGCAGAAAAATTTAAATTTTCTTATCCTAGGAAAATGTCATCATTCAAAATAAATGTTCCTAGCGAATTTTTTCACAGAATATGATTTGTGAAATTCTGGCCAGAGCATGTTGTTGTCAAGGGGTACAAAACCGTTATTTTGGTAGCTTTCTCTTTATTACATTTTCTTACATTCCACCATTTTTAATCCTTCCTATTTATTGAACCATCTGTTTGCTATTCAATTAGCTTTCAATAGACTTTCAGATAGGAAAAATTTATTAGTTCTGGGAGATTTTTTTTGTCTATTTTTATACCCTTGCAGGGTATTATAATTTCAGTCAGAAGTTTGCAACGCAGTGAAGGCGACGTTTCCGACCCTATAAAGTATATATATTCTTGATCAGCATCAACAGCCGAGTCGATCTAGCCATGTCCGTCTGTCCGTCCGTCCGTCCGTCCGTCCGTCTGTCCGTCTGTCCGTTTCTACGCAAACTAGTCCCTCAGTTTTAAAGCTATCTGAATGAAACTTTGCATATAGTATTCTATGTATTCTCACTGCTATATATATCGGAAGGGGCCGGATCGGGCGACTATATCATATAGCCCCATACAAATGATCGATAAATTTTTAGAAAAAAATTATAGCTGTTTTTCAACATTTTTGCACCATTTTTTAGATATTATTAATCGGACGACTATATCTTATAGCTGCCATAGGAACGATCGGTAGATGTAGAGAAAATATAAAGCTGTGAATGTAAAACTGTAACTGTCAAACTGTAAACATAGCAAGTATAGGTAAAATGCTATGAAACTCTGTTTTGTGTGTGTTTTCAGCATTTAAGTCTATAATATAAACATCAAAACCAATCTGCAAGGGTATATAAACTTCGGCGTGCCGAAGTTAGCTTCCTTTCTTCTCTTTAGTTTGTCTCTGATTCGGCGACAGATAGTTTAGCTAGGATGGCAATTGAAGATCCCTGTCATTCTACTTTTGAATTCTGACCCATTTACACAATATATCCGACGGTCATGCAAAAAAAAAAAAAAACAAAAATTGTTTTTGCAAGTTGGACTTCGAAGAGGTGAAAAATTGTATATCGGATTTTCATTGGTCTGATCTGTTCATGTGCACTGACATGGCTGCTGCCGGGGATATTTTTGTAAGCGTTAGGAATTCATTTTTACTATTCTTCACCCCCGCCTGAACGATTTCTTTTTAGATTGATTCAAAGGCGAGTTTTCTTTATTTCTTTTCATTATGCGCTTTCCTACAATGGCGAATAAGTCAAAACGCTTGTACTCTTACAACATTTTTATACAATTGTAGGGTAACATAATTTTAGTCAGAAGTTTGGAACGCTGTATTCTTGATCAGCATCAACAGCCGAGTCGATCTCGCCAAGATTGTCTGCCCGTCCGTCAGTCATGTCAGTGTTATATTAGATACTTAGAATTGAAAATAAAATTATTTTTAACCATCTAAAAATAATGTTTTTAAAATATTATCAAAACCAAAATAGCTTTTATATATCTCCTATTAGTTCCACATCGATTTTTAATGATCCAGTTAAAAACTGTAAGTGTATACTTGTTTTATATTATCAAGCAAATTTATCATCATTGATGATCGAATCTTGGTGCGGGAAGATTTCGCGTTTATCAAACGCACAGAGAATTTTTGGAGTACAGTCGCGTATTGGAGGAAACTGATAACATAGTCAATATATGTCCGCAATCTCACATACAGATGATTCCGAGCGCTGACAACGCTGGACTCATTGGGATACACTCAGGGCATACACTTCTTGGGAGCAGGTACGCTTGAGAAGATTTAGGAAAAATTTAATTTTCTGAATTTCATGAAAAAAATGTAGTCAATAAACCAATATAAATAAATCACATAATAAAGCCCAAATTGATTAGCCCACCATATCTGTCAAAAAATATTGAAACCAGCTAGAATTCCAAAATTGACAAACGAAATGTAACGATATGTTAGTAATTCGGAATAGGATGATTATTACTCTAGAGAATTTCATGCTCGCAGAGCGATCTTCATCCAAGGTAATTGTGTTTACTGAAACCTGGTTAAAGCCGGAGATTCTCTGCTCCGAAATATTTCCAGGTAAGTACACAATTTATGGATTGGACTCTCTTTCCAAGCGACAAGGTTGAGTTTTAATTGCCGTTGACTGCAGCCTTATCTCCAAACTGATTCTAATTGACGATCTCACAGCTAATAAATTTATCTGTGTAAAACTATCATTTCCAGGTAGTTTTATCTAAATAACTTGTTACTTCATCTGGTAAAGATCATATTTATTGACAACACACAACAGGCAATTCAGGCTGATTCCAACATGCTTTCAGATCGAGACCAAATAGTAACTCTAGAAGACTCTAATATATCTGGAGCTTCTTGATCATCAGATGGTTCGTTCAATGTTCTGCATGACCTCATTGATGGCTTTCTTGACAATTCTTTGCCTCAAGTTAATAATGTCCTTAATTTTTTAAACCGCTTACTAGATCTGTGTTTCGTCTCCGATCCTGTAGGTGTAAACTGAACAAGAGTTGATCCTTTGACGCTTCCTGAAGACTCTAACCATCCTTAAGAATAAATCTGATCGTTTAGCCAATAAAGTTCGCTGCTTTCGTAGAGCTAACATTTAAAGGCTAAATAACTTAATATCTAAATTTATTTGGTCTACTGACATGGCTTCACCCATGGATAATTTATGTTATATTATATATTTATAATTTTAAACAAAGTTATTTTATGCGATCTTAAAATAATGTTTTTAAAATTTTATAAAAACCAAAATATTTGATATATTGTATAAATATATATATTTGATACATCTCCTATTAGTTTTTCTTTAAATTTGGTCAAAATTAAGCGAATCTTAATTATCCAAATTGCAAACTGCAATTAACTTTCTTTCCTAACTTTGAAATGGAATTCCATTTTTTTTTTTTAAGTTTTTTTAATCCTTAGAAGTCATCTCAATGATTATATTAGGACGAAAAGACTTTCTAATTGTATTAACATGCTTACTGACACGGTATTTAAGCATAAGAACTTCTTTATGACAATTTAAGATTTAAGCGTATCTTTTTTTTGTGTCGATCTGTTGGCTATTAATGCCATTTGATGCTTACGACGTTGTCGTTAAATAAGTTGACATAATTTTCTTGTCTAATTTAATTTTAAGGGTACAAAATATATAAATAAATAAAAAAATAAAGTTAATAATAATAAGAACACGAAATGAGAAAAATAATGTGCACCGGGAAAAGAATAAAATCTTTTTTAATAAATATATTTGTTATTACCAAAAAAGGGAGAAGAAGATCAAACAAGAGTTTAAGAAAGTGGAAATAATTATAATAAATGATTGAAACAATATTCAAAACGGGTTATACAACATATAAAACAAGATTGTACGAAAAGGTACATAAATCAGGGAGCACGCTTTAAAGAATTTATATTTAAAAAAAATTGTAATATTATTTCTATGCATTCCCCTAAGGCATATGTATTAAATTTTATAACATTTTTGTTCTTGTGTTGATATACATGTCCTTAAAGAAATAATTGTATATGGTAAACAGTACAGATATAAATCAGGTTGCCTTTTACAGGCGTTTTTGAATACGAATATTATTATATTGTATTATTACCAACAGAGTTAATCAATTCCATAATAATTAAACTGCTGTATTGATGCTCTCATAAAATGGTATGTTTTTAGGTACAATGCTATAATATGCCATATATTTCATTTTAAGTATCATACAAACATAAATATATATAAACTCACCAATTGTATTACAAGTATAAAGTTAAACATGTTTATAAAGCAATTAATAAAGTGAAATAAATATTCATTAACGCAATATATTAAGCAGGTATACCAATTAACTATCAATTACTGTAAAAGGAAACACAGGACAATAAAATCCATATACACAATTTTAATGTGAAATGCAGATAAATTCCACTAAACATATATTTATATAATCGACGAATTTAATAAAAGAATACATTACAAAAATTCCTAACATGACATGTTCATATTTTTTGTAAATATAGGAAAAAATGGTAAGTTTAATTTTCGTTTTAAAGAAAGTCGGATCCACAAGAAGTCAGATATACTGCACGTCTCGGCAGAACGCCACAAGATTTATTTAATAGGACTAAACCGACCACAAATTTGTCATTTTATTGCAAGGGGAGCAGATATATATAGGCGAGCAATCCTCTCTGCGTGTTGCTACCAGTTACACCTCTGATGTGAAAACTGCAGCAAAAACGACGCAGGGAAAGTTAAGCCGCTCACGTGCCATAGTCAATACAGACTCGGAACTTGAGAGCGTGCAGCTCTCCAAAGAGCTGGAAGAAAGCCTTCTACGATCGCCGAAACTAGGCAGAGGCTCCCAGCGCAGGGACGGGCCAAAGCGGTCAAGCGAGGAGATGAAGTCCAAGGCGCAGTACAAGGCTGCAGAAAAAAACCGCGCTATCCCCAGAGGAGAAGGTAAAGCTTACCTGGGCCGAGGAGAGGATCGCTGAAGGCAGGCTGCTGCAGCGTCAGAACCCGGATATCCCAACCGCGGACTGGAAGGTTCTGCACGTTGCGGCCCCATCACCCAAGGAGGGGGGGCAACGTGCAGTCCTTCAGATAAACAAGGAGGCAGAGGACATCCTCTTTCCCAGATACGGGAAGCGTGGGGCAGGGGTAGCGCCTCAAAAAGCGCTACCCCGAGAATAAGGATGCTCACACCCTGACCGTAGTAGTCAACCCGCCTTATGGAAGGAAGCATCCGCCGACATAGCTTTGGTTCAAGAGCCAGGAATCGCCTCGCCGGACAAAAGTCGCAAATTACAATTTTCTCCATCCACCAACGGTAAGTAGGAACAGACCCGCCGTACTTGTACGGAAGGGTCTACAAGCTAACCTTATGTCTTGTTACAGCTCTGATGACCTGACCGTGGTGATGCTAGAGAGCGGAAAAAACGGGACGGGCCCACCAGAAGAACTCAGCAGCCTGGTAGAAGCCAGCCCAAAGGATCAGCAACTGCTCGTGGGTGCAGACGCCAACCCGCAACATTGCGAATGGCGGAGCTCCGATATAAACGACAGAGGTGAGTCACTCTTAGACATTATACTCTCAACCAACCTGAGTATAGCAAACGTGGGGGAGGAACATACTTTTGTAGGTTTCACCTCCTCAAACGTACTATATCTTACTCTTGTAAGAGGACAGGATTAATTGTGTAATGGTCGCCTTAGTTGCAAGAATGTTTTCTTTCCTATACGAACGTTGGGAAAGAAAAGTTTTTATTTTGACTTAGATTTTTAAAATCTCGTCATATCCCGCCATAGTAGGACCCACTATTCACCTTTTTTGACAACTACCTGTGAATGACAAAAAAGTGATTAATCTGAATGCACCCCTTCGTCGGCTTGAGAACTGATAAAAAGCTCGTAAGCCCAGAAATTGGTCTTTCCGTTTTAAGTCGTGCCTACGAGCAGTTGAAATCGCTCTTATCTCAATTTTTAGTTTTGCACGCTGCCAAAAAAATTGGACTTTAAAGTTCAAAGTCCAGGCATTCAAATCTGATCGCATCTTGCGATACGGAAAGTGCTCCGCTATTCAGTCAGCATTATTTCACCTTTCGGCTGCTGATTAAACCTGTACGGTAATTATTTTGTGCAAATTTTAGAAAATATGAATTCTAACCTTTGCCCCTCTAATAGCCACTGGATCCACCAAGACTAACAATTCTCCTGATCGTGGTCGTAGCCAAATTCTTTTTGCCAACCTGTGTTGCAAACCCTTGTTTTTGGGCAGATCCGAAAAATCGACTTACGTAAGTCCTACCATAACCTGTCGCTTATATTCTTTTAAATGGGAAAATTTCTTTAGTTTCTCGCAACAACGTTCTTGCCATCGGAAAAGGAAAAGCCTTTAGGGATCAAGGAGAGCAAAGCAACAAAAGCAAATTGTAGCAGAAAAACTGGCCACGTGGGATTGTTAAAAAAATTACAACGATACAACAAATAATAAAATCCTAAATTACCTATATATAAAAAAAAAAATAATAATGAGACAAAACAGATTAAAATTTAAAACTAAATTCTAAAAAAAAAACAAAAAAAAAATAACAATAATTATGAAATACTAAAATTAATTAATTTAAATCCGCCATCACAACACGCCGATCAACCTTTCTCTAAGTGTACCTCTTATGGAGAACCCTAATCATATAATTTGAAAGCTTCTAAGCCCACAGCTTTTTAACCATCTCCTCTGGAGCAACATGAAGGCCTTCATCAAGCAACAAGAGTGGGTGAGTTTTTATTCGGCAACTTATTAAAAAGTGGAAGTGATCGAGCAAACCAATGAACATGCAAATTAAACAACTAAAATTTTGTGCAAAGTGATAATCCAAATCAATTTAATTGTGACCGTTTAAGTCGTGAAAAAAAAAAAATCATATATAAGATTTTAAATGCAGCCGTAAGCGCAGCTTTTGTTTTGATTATCCAGTTTCGTTGAGAGATAATGGAAGCTCGTGTACATTGGTTTGGCCGATAGCAAATATATATGATTGACTGTTCTCGCATAGTTTGAAATTAATTATGAATTAAATAAAACACGGCCTGTTGATGTGATTGTGAGAAAAAAAAAAAAAAGGTTCAAATAGAGTAAAAAGAAAAACAATGAAGATAAACGACATACACTGAAACAACAAAGATGTACAATTAATTCATACAATTTAAAACTTAGATCTTAATTTTTATTTTAATTAGTTAAAAGCCAACATGTAGAGATAAAAATATTATTTGAAAATTTAAAATTTAATTCTTAATTTTTATGATAATTAATTAAAAGCCAACATGTAGATATAACCATATTATTTGACAATTTAAAACTTAAATAAGACATATTAATTTGGAAATGATTAGAACCTATGAATAGAAACAGAATGCTTGAATTGTAATAATGGATGTTTAGAAAAAAATGAATTGAAAAAAAATAGGATGAAAATGAATATAACAAACATTTATAGTATGAAATTAACGATGAATTTCTAAGTTTTATTTTAGACATGGGGGTATAAATTAAATAAAAGAAGGGACATTAACATTTGGGTTTCCCCAGTTAGGGAGAGACATGGTTGGGAGGGTTAAGAATACATGTGGCATCCACCATCAACGCCACCGCCTTACAGTTCGTTGAAGACCCTACACATACATTCATAGAATAAATTTGATTTTGATTCCACCTTTTTCGCCTATGAGTAGGCTTATTGTTTTGTTGAGGGACTCTTAAATTTAAAGTTCGTAGTGTCAAGTTTAGACGTCAGCAAGAACCTACCCCACCCGGAATGAGCTACCGTTTTATGGGTCCCGCCACCGCTGATCAGTCGAAAACTAACAATATGTTGTCGTATAACACAGACCATGCAACACGCTACAAATTTTTGGCGCCCAAAGTATGGGGCATGTAGACGAAAAAACACTCATCCATTTGGTGATGTTTTGGTTTACAAATCCCGCCATTAAGAGTTGTTGTAATTTTGGTTTTTATTTGAGGATTTGACCGACTCGTCTTAACGTTTCAAGTTAACCCAAAGAAATAATAAACTGCAACAATAATTAATGAATCCAGCTCTTTTATTTCTGATTAGGCAAGCTTTTATTTAGTGGAGAGGACAAGATAGAGTCGCAGTTCGGATACGTTTTTTGGAATTCGAAGATTTAGGCATTTGAATCTTTTCGACCTTAACATCGGTGCACGATCGAAGGCCTATGTGTTACTCTTGCAAATAAATCACCTGGCTTTATTAAATTGATTGTTAGTACGATGTAATTCCATTAAAGAAAATTGTTAAGACGTATTTAACTGGAATTATGTAGCATATCAGAAAAGGTATGTGCATCCGTTAACATACATTTTTCAAATTTCAGGTAATCGATTAACATCAAATTCACTTTAAAATCAATAGCCCATTATATACAGATGTCTTCAAATGAATTGTTTGGAAGAAATAGGAAACCCTTCTTAATTTAGTTTTGCCCCAAAAATGTCTAAGAAAGTTTATACAATTTAAAATGGTTTTACAACATAGTTTTGGAAATCAACCCTCTAATGAAGAGGATAATATTTGTCTAGTTTGCAGTGAAGTAATGTCGGACACACAAACTTGTTCAATAACATTATGTAAACATATATACCACAAGTCTTGCATTGAAAACCGATTACTATCACATGCTGATTGCCCATCTTGTTTTGCTGTAGTGCACACGCAAGATTTAAAAGTAGTGATTGGAAATTGTTCTCCAAATGCAAAAGCACAAGCTCCAGAACCGGTAAGAGTTGTCACTCGATCAGTTACCAGAGATTTGAATAGGGGAAAAGCAGCAAGTTCCAATCCACCGACAAACTTAAGCATAGAAAATTTACCACCATTAGATACCAGTCATAGTACTAATAGAGCCGAACATCCTCCTAGAGGTGGCGCTCGAAATAACCCCCCGGGAAGACCTAGAAAAGGCAACAACCGCTCACACACACAAAGAAATATGAATCCAACGAGTCATAGTTTAGACTTTGGCCAATTAGAGATGTGGATACAACAAGCTGTAGCACGAGCATTACAGTCACCTAATCCACCAGTTTATCAAAACTTTCCTCAGCAACCTAGTCTGAATAGAGGTCAAGCTAGTGGAAATTGTCAAGTCAATGCAGAGCAATTGTCACAACATAATTCTCGGCAGGATAGTCATGAAGAGGATCACCGATCGTTTCAAAATACTGCTCATACTATTTCGGCAGCTAAGGTTGCTGATATCATGCAAAAGTGGGGTATTCATTTCGATGGATCTGCTTTAGGATTACCAGTAGAAGAATTTCTTTACCGAATTAAAACTCTTACTGCTCAGAATCTTAATAATAATTTTCAAGCAGTAAATCAAAACATTCATTCTTTGCTTGTTGGAAAAGCCAAAGATTGGTACTGGCGATACCACAAAGCCACAACAGAGAATAACTGGAACGATTTTTGCAAAGCTATACGGTTCCAGTATAAAGAAAGTAGGTCGAATAACGAGATACGAGAACAAATTCGTGCTCGAAAACAAAAGGTAGGCGAATCCTTTGAGTCCTATTACGAAGCTATTTGTAAATTAAGGGATCGGATGACTGTGAATCTAGATGAACGAGAAGAAGTGGAGATAGTGCAAGGAAACTTACTATCAGATATTAAAGATCGATTATTGTTTGAAGATGTATCTTCAATAGCACAACTTCGAAAGTTAGTTCAGAAAAGGGAAAACTTTATTAGGGAAATAGGAAAATCTCGAGTCATACCCTCTAAGGGCAGAGAACCAGCTTCTTATAAAGTTTATACAGTTGAAGAAACTCTGAGTGAGGAGGAAAATAATGTAGACGAATGCACCGGAGATATCGCTGCTATGCAAAAACCAATATCTCGAAACAGATGCTGGAATTGTGATAAGGAAGGGCATTTATGGGAAAATTGTCTTGGCGAAAGGCGCATCT